GCGACGTTGCGTAAAAATTTATAGCGCTTCTAAGTAATTGCGAGTTCTATGCTGTTGCTTTTTTCTTCATTTTTCTTTCGCTCTTTTCCATCGAACTGCGAGCTGCCTCATCTGAAAATGTAAACTCTTAACGGTTAGCTGTAAACTGTGCACTGTGCGCTGTGCCCCCCGCCCAGCCACGCCCAGCGGTCGAGCATGTGCATATTTGAATAGCAACATGCCTCATATTCAACTAATTAGGCGAGTTTCGCAAATACATTTTCATTATTGTAATTTTACACTCCAGAGCAGAAAAAATACAAAAACAAAAACGAAAAGAAGTAGAAATACACACACACGCACACACACACGCACACACATGTGCACATTGAAATGCAGAGACGAGTCAAGAAACGAGCGCAAAAAAGTAGGCAACATGCAGGCAAACTTTCTGGCATAGTCTGCCCCTGCCCCGGCCCCTGCCTCAGGGCCTGCCTGGCCTCGTCCCCTGCCGCCGCTTAGGGGTAAACGGAGTGCAGCAGGCACTGACACATGTAGGCCGAGCATTTGCATATGCATATATACGAAAAATCTGTAGGTAAAATGCAAAAAGCTACCGAAGCAGCAACAGCAACAAGCCGGACTGAGTGAGCAGCGTGTGAAACGTGAATTGCGAAATGTGAAATGTAAAATTTGAAATGTGGGCAATGCGGTTCGAATGTGGTTCGACTCTGCCACTGTCTGCCGGTTGCCCATTTAAAAAAATATATGCATATCTGCTCACTAAGTCAGCGGGTGAGCCAGTGAGTCAGACACAACTCCTACAGCAATTCGTTCCAAACTCGCAATATTCAAAAATGGAAAACGAAAAGCGAAAAAAAATGAAAACATGAAAAATGCAGTTCAACTTTCAAACTGAGGACAGGCAGCATAAGTTAAGGTCATGGGATGGAAATGGAAAGAGAAGAAGAAAGAGAAAGAGAGAAGAGAAAATATAAAGAGGGAGAAGGAAAAGGAAAAGGAAAAAGAGAAGGAGAAGGAAAAGGAAAAGGAAAAAGAGAAGGAGAAGGAGAAGGAGAAGGAGAAGGAGAAGGAGAAGGAGAAGGAGAAGGAGAAGGAGAAGGAGAAGGAGAAGGAGAAGGAGAAGGAGAAGGAGAAGGAGAAGGAGAAGGAGAAGGAGAAGGAGAAGGAGAAGGAGAAGGAGAAGGAGAAGGAGAAGGAGAAGGAGAAGGAGAAGGAGAAGGAGAAGGAGAAGGAGAAGGAGAAGGAGAAGGAGAAGGAGAAGGAGAAGGAGAAGGAGAAGGAGAAGGAGAAGGAGAAGGAGAAGGAGAAGGAGAAGGAGAAGGAGAAGGAGAAGGAGAAGGAGAAGGAGAAGGAGAAGGAGAAGGAGAAGGAGAAGGAGAAGGAGAAGGAGAAGGAGAAGAAGAAGGAGAAGGAGAAGGAGAAGGAGAAGGAGAAGGAGAAGGAGAAGGAGAAGGAGAAGGAGAAGGAGAAGGAGAAGGAGAAGGAGAAGGAGAAGGAGGAGGAGAAGGAGGAGAAGGGGCTACCCTCCTTAGCTTCGTTTAGCTTCGTCAAATACTTCAATCGAAACTGGCTCTACCCTAGGAAGTTCTCCTTTTTATTTGTACTGCGTCTCCTTTTAAAGGGTATACAAATGAATCCGCTGAAACTGCAAGCTACGTTGAAGAGTTGAGATCTAGAACGTCGGACAACTCCAACAGCGGCTGCTCAGCTCTCTCTCTCTCTCTCTCTCTCGCTCACTCAGTCGGCCGCCAGCTATCTCTGTTTAAGCCTAAGCTCAAAACCATTAACACTTGTTTCTGTCATTTTACATGAAAAGCGGAAACGCTTTTGTTTCTGTGCAACAAACAAGTTTCTTTGCGCCCAGTCAGTGGCTGCCACTGCCACAGCGGCTGCCCGTGGCCTAGTCAAGCTTCAGGAGCGGCCCCCCCTCCACTAGCGCGATAGGCAACTTGGCGGCGGCGGCGGGAGATGGGCGACTGGTTTTTGCGGCGTATGCAGGACTTTTATTTTTTGACATGGGTATCCGTATCCTAGATTCATTTGTAGCTTCGCCTGTTTGCAGCAGCAGGCGCTCGTTTATTTGCTTGTTTTTCACTTAGACAGACCCCATGCTGCCCCCGCCTGCCCCCCTCGGGGGCTGCCCGATTCCGAAATACCCGGCAGCAGTGTTAAATACTTGTGCTGTGTACATTATAACTCGGGCGACTGGCTGGATGGCTGGACGGCTGGCATGTCAGCCAGCTGGATGAGGGTGCCGCATTGCATGTTGCCCAACAAACTTTTCTTCATTCTGTGCGCGCCTGTCAACGTCAAGGCGTGGCTGCTGCCTACTGCTCGTCAGCCCACGGGCAGAACTTTGCCATTTGCAAGGTGTTCGCTCGCCTTGCTGGCTTCCCATACGAGTCTGCCACGCGAGCCAGCCGCACGGCATCATTTGGATAATCTCGCCGCCTCTTCCATTCTTCTTTTTAGCCACTTTTAAATACAAATTCAATTTCACTTACCCGAAACACTAGCACAAGGCAAGGAAATTCAATTTCCACTGAATATGACAACGTTTTTATGGTTCAAACTTTTCAAACTGTCTTCATTAGTTTTGTCATTAGACTAAAAGCATGTTTTAGCCCTTGAATACATTTCAGGTGTCAGCTTGCCTCTGTCAGTCACTCTATCTTTCTCTCTGTCTCTTTCACTCTTATGTTACCTCTCTTTTTCTCGTTATTGCTCTCCTTCACTCACGCTCTTTATTACTCACTCTCTGCTGTCTCTTTGTCGCTATCTCTATCTATCTTCCTCTCTCTCTTTATCTTTTTTCTGCTCTTCTCTGTCTCTCTTTGTCTATCTCCCTCTTTTTTTCTCTTATCTCTTTATCTCCCTCTGTCTCTTGCTCTCTCTACCTCTCTCTCTCTCTCTCTCTCACTCTCTCTTTATCGACCAGGTGTTTCGCATCTCTCTCTACCTGCTTCCTTCCTTTCACACTCTCATTTGATCTCATCTCTTTTTTTATCGTCGTCTTCATCTCTTTCTCCTTGTCTCTCCATCTTTTCTTCTTTTATCTCCTTTTGTCACTATTTTTCTTGCTCTCTTTAACTCGCTCTCTTTCTCTTTCTTTATCTCTTTTTCTTTCATTTTTTCATTTTCTCTCTCTATCTTTATCTTTCATTATTTTTTCTCTAGTTCCAGTTTCCTTCCCTATCTATATATCTGTCTCACTTTCTCTCACTTTCTACTATGCCTCTCTATATCTCTGTCTCTCTCTCTCTCTTTCTTGTTCTAGTCTCTCTTCCTATGCCGCTCGTTATCTTGTCATATCCTCTCAGGTCGTGCGCCCTTTTCTCTGCCATTTTTCGCCTCTCTCCAACTCTTTCTCCGCCTTTCTCTCTCTATTTTTTTCCCTCTCTTTCGCTCTCCTCATAGTTACCTAATGCCCGTTTGGCTACAGTTGCTCCATATGAATTTTATCTTAATCGCATTTGAAATTTCTGAAGTTGTTCTCCTGCTGTCACTCGTAGGTTTGCCTCGTCCTCTTGCTCTTCCTCTTCGTCTACCTCTTCCTCCCACTTTCTCTTCATTTCATTCGCATTCTCAATCTCTTCCAGCTGCTTGGATTTCGCCTTTTCTCTATCTACTATCAGGTATTATCGAGTCTTGAGTCCGCATAAATTTGCTCATCTCTTGGGCTGACGCGTTTATGCATAAACTCTGATGCTTTATCATGCATACATGAACTGCCACGCCCACAGAAATGAATGAGCATTCATGTGGTACGTGATTCAATGAGACCGAAGCCGACAGCCTCGAATCCTTTCGAGTATCTAGAGGTGTTTCGCAAGTTTCTGCAACAAAATTAATTTATAAATTTATCATAAAGCCGACACCAAAAATCCAATGCTCGCACACACACACACACACACACGGGCCAGGATCGAAGACTGCAAAGGAATTGAAGTTGGGCCAGCTCATCGACGCTGACGATGCTGGACCAGGATGATATGTGAATAAGGATGCGGATGACGACGACGGCGATGATGACGATGCTGATGATGATGATGATGACTGCGCTTGCATAAACGAGTTTGCCCTTAAGTGTGTGGGCTGAAGCTGTCTGTGTACTATGTGTCTATGTGTGTGTGTGGGTGTCTTTGGCAGTTTCGAATCAATGCGTGAGCAGCATTTTCAATGGGTTCTACCATCCATATGCTCCGCATTCACCTTATGCTCATCGAGACTCACATTTAAGTTATTTATGCAGACTCACATACAAAGCATGCAAAGATTTCAGCAGCAGCAGCAGCAGCAGCCCTACCCAGGCTGAGCTGGGCGCCTCGTCTAGAGCATCTGCCCCGGGCTGCATACAATTAGCTGCAACTGTAATTAAAGCAATTGTACCATAAATCTTTTGCCAATTTAATGGCAAATGCTCCAAATGGGCCTGTGCCGGCCGAGAGCCCCGCCAGGGAGCGTGTGTGCCAAGTAATTGTTGCCAAAAAAAGTGAAAGAGGAAGAAAATAAGGAGAAAAAGGATAAGAAAAACCAAATTAATATAAACTTAATAGTTGGCTGGCATTTATGGCCCACGCAGAGCACGAGAGAGGACGCGGCAGCGAGAGAGAATGGGTAAGAAAAGTCATTAAATGCATTCACATGCAGTTCATGTGTAGCAGACCTCGAAATACCCTGTAATCCGATTAAAAATCGTGCTCTAAAACAATATCTGTAAGCAACAACACAACGATAATATATCGATAACTAAGACATATCGATACGGAATATTGAGTTCACATGCAGTTCATATATAGCACACCACGTAATACCCTGTAATCCGATTAAAAATCGTGCTCTAAAACAATATCTGTAAGCAACAACACAACGATAATATATCGATAACTTAGACATATCGATACGAAATATTGAGTTGAACTCTCAGCGCATATACCCCATGAGGCTTGAGGGGGGAAAAACATATAATGAAAAGCATTTAGTCAGCTCTCTTGAGGCATCTCCACAGTTGGCCGCCATTCAAAAGCAATTGAAATTCGAAATTAATAACCGTAAGCCGTAGTGGAGTTACGACACTACGTACGTAGTGCCAAGTGGCTGGGAGCAACACAGTGTCGTAGTAGGCGTGCTGTGGCATGAAGGCAGTCAGTAGAAGCAAACAAAATATAAAGAGCTGAGGCATATACAGCCAGAGTGCGGAATAAAGACAGCTAAACAGTGAGCGAACGTTGGGGTCAGCTTGTGGAGTGATTGGAATGTTGGGAGCTAAGCCAAAAACCAGGACCAAGTCCAAGTCAAAGTCAAAGCATAACTCGCCGCGATTCTACAATCCAACGGACCTGGTGCAGCTAATGCAGCCGCTCAAGATGCCGTGGACAGTGTCGTCCGACCATGGACGACACCGACCCAAATCGGAAATCGTGAGGGAGCTGCAGCGCATGCGCCACCTACCGATGCGCGTCGACGAAGACGCCGTTGAGGTGGACACAGAGGAGGGGGTAACGCCAGCTTCGGTGCCGATTCGAACGCTCGAGCAGCTGGACGCGCTGCGCCTGACGCGGCATCGCATCGAGCAGCTGCTGCGTTGCACCAACTTTGAGCTGGCGGTGCTCAGTTGCTTTGTGCGCCTGAATGTCAATCCAATGAACGTGCCGCTCGAGTATCGCATTGCCGAGATCATGGGCACCACGGAGCTGGCCGAGGGCTATTATGTGGGCAAGACTCCGACGAATATTGTGCTCCATTTGCGCTACGAGGATCTGGTGGTGAAGCACGAGCTGAACGACATCTCCAACATGGCGTTCACGCCCGAGGAGTTTGATTACTGGCACGACAACTGCATCTGCCAGGGCATCGAGTGGCCCACCATCGAGCTGATCTCGCGCAAAAAGGTCGAGCTCTACAATGCGCTCAACAGCGAGGGTAAGCTCACCTCCATTTTAAAGCATACCGGCTTGATGCCGCTCGCGATGCCGATGCGTCCGGTGCCCAAGGGCGAGCTGCTGGAGCGTATGGGTGGTATCTATCCATGGAAATTGCAGCGCCCACCGCCGCCGCTGCCATCGCCGCCGCCACCACCACCGCCACCACTGGAACTTCAACCACCAAATTCTGAAGTTCGAGAAGATTCTGAAATATGCGTTAAGATTGAGCCCGAATCCAAGGAGCTCAGCCAGGCGTTGTCGGAGGCGGAGTCACCGGCAAAGGAGGAGCTGTAAGTGCCATGCCCGGACTTGGCCATACCCAGTACCTAGCGAGTGCCGGGCACATCGACCAATGCCTCGATTTGAGACACTAAATTCGGAAATAATTGCATCATTCTTTTAGTTTTGGTTCACCATATTTCTTTGATTTGCAGCTGTGGAAAATGGTAAAAAAATGATTGAAATGAAATAAAAATAATAAAAGAAGAACTGTGTGCGTGATTGATTGACTGATGGATGATGACTAGGTAAAGTAACATGTCCAAATCTATTATTTGGATGACCATATTTAACTCTGTAATGATTGATCGAATGATTGAATTAATTTTGAATTGATTGAGTGGTATAAACGATTGATTGACCGATTGACTGATGAACTGTTTGACTGATGGACTGTTTGACTGACTGATGCACTGATTGACTTATATTTGTATATGATTGATTGACAGATTGACTGACTGGTTGACTGATTGATTGATTGACTACCTGGTTAACTGGACTGATTGATAAACTGATGGACTGATTGATTGACTGATATTTATATATGACTGATTGACTGACGGACTGACTGACAGATTGATTGGAAGTTATATATGATTGATAGTATTGATTGATTGAATGACTGACTGACTGATTGACTGTTTGATTTAAATTTATATATGATTGATTGACAAATTGACTGACTGGTTGACTGATTGATTGATTGAGTACCTGGTTAACTGGACTGATTGATAAACTGATGGACTGATTGATTGACTGATATTTATATATGACTGATTGACTGACGGACTGACTGACAGATTGATTGGAAGTTATATATGATTGATAGTATTGATTGATTGAATGACTGACTGACTGATTGACTGTTTGATTTAAATTTATATATGATTGATTGACAAATTGACTGACTGGTTGACTGATTGATTGATTGAGTACCTGGTTAACTGGACTGATTGATAGACTGTTGGACTGGTTGATTGACTGATATTTATATATGACTGATTGATACATTGACTGACGGACTGACTGATTGACAGATTGATTGGAAGTTATATATGATTGATAGTATTGATTGATTGAATGACTGACTGACTGATTGATGGACTGATTGACTTAGATTTATATATGATTGATTGACTGACAGACCGACTGACTGACTGCTTGATTGATTGAGTACCTGGTTAACTGGCTTACTGCCTGGCTGATTGATTGACTGTATGATTGCTTAACTTATGGACTGATTGACATAGATCAAAATATGATTGATTGACAGGTGATTGACTAATTTAAACGACATCAGCAACGAGTGTTTATGCTGCCTGAAGCCAATGCTCTGACTTAAGGCTTAGTCTCCGCAGCTTAGACTCAGGTGTGTGCATATTGGATGTCCTTAGTTAACGGTTCTTCCCAGCATCATTTATTGGGAATCAAAGTAGTCGACAAAAGCGTAGTCGATTTTGTGATTTTTAGTTAGTTTATTAAGTCAATTCATTTCCAATTGTTACTCGAGAAAGCAACGCGCTTTGAAATTTCTTATTTTTCATTATTTTTTCAAAAACACCAAAAAGTTCAACCGTGGGGACAGTTCTTGTACGCTTTGACCATCGAACTAATCAATAAGTAGCGCATTATTGATAGCCATCTTCATATTTGACGAGATCCTTTTGAAGTAAAGCTCAGTTTGGCTGAGTAGTCAAGGCAGAAGCTGGTGTTCGGTGTCGATATCGATAGTTGATAATGGCCCTCGAGAAGAGTCGCTCCAAAGTGGTCCAGCTACTGGGTGACATGATGAACAGTCATTCCGATTTGGTCCATCAATCGACCGAGGAGTTGACCAGCCTCTATGCCGATCCGGACAGCACCATTGAGCTGTGCCTGGTTCTCGGCAACTGCGCGAGGCTGCCGGCCATGCGCAAGTGCTCCGGTCACATACTCAAGAATCGATTGGGCCAAGCGGGCATGTGGAAGAAGATGAACCTTGCCCAGCAGCAGGAGGTACAGAGCGCCCTGCTGAATGCACTCAAAACGATGTCCACGAACGATGATGAGAACCTGCAGCTGACAATTGTGTGCTGCGTTGGACTTGTGATGGAGCAGGTGATGGAAGCGGAGGACGCGGCCGCCGAGTGGAACAACTGCGTTTTCAGTCACATCGAGGAGCTGTGCGTTAGCCACGAAAAGCTCGCCCAGCTGCTGGGCTCCATTTGCTACAAGCTGCTGATCAAGACGACGCCCAATGTCGCTGAGAAATATTTGCTGCGCACCAAAGCCATATTCACGAACGCACTGGAGCAGGCCAAGGCTAACGGGGAGCTGGGTACGCTGGCCACGGAGAATCTGCTTGCCGGCTGGAGTCTGGCCATACCATTGTTCCGCAACCATGCCAGCGACCAGGATGAGCTGGTCGCCACGCTGCCGCTCATCATGGAGTTGACGCACGCTTTTGCCTATCAGCCGAATCCGAAACGAAGCTACCGCGGATTCGATATGCTCGTCAAGCTGAATAAGCATATGCCGGAACTGGTGTGGCCAGAACTGCAGCAGGTGGTCAGCAAACTGTTCGTGTTGGCCAGCGACACGAGCCTGGCCGATGAGATACGCGTTCAGGCCATCATAACGTTAAGGAATTGTGTGCGCCACAAGCGGCGCCACATCATTCGTCTGAAATTGATGGACAAGCTGCTGATGACACTGTTCAATCTGCTGGCCGTCAAGCCGGCCCTGGATGCGGATGGCGAGGATCTGTACTTGGTCGATGCCCAGGAGTCGCAATCTCCGCTCTCCGAAGCGGCCCAGACGGTGCTCTTCATTGCATCCCAATCGGACACCAATCGAGTCGCGCAGCGCGCGCTTCGCCTGATGCTGCCGAAGCTGGTCCAGCAGAAGTCGGCGGTGCAGCGCGTTGGCGGTCATCTGTTTCTGGCCCTGATGGCCAAGGGCTTCACCGATTTGCTGGCGGACGAGCCACTGAACAGCTTTGTCGCTGTGGTCGAGAAGGGTGTGCATGATGCCGACCCCATGGTGCGCCGCTCTGCGCACTTTGCGCTGGCCATTCTCGCCGAGAATCTGCAGCCGGAGATCACGGTGCTGGCGCCCCAGGTATTGCCCCTGTTCTGTGAGTTCTTCGATCAAATGACACCGGAGCAGCGTATGATCGATCACGAAACGGAGTCACAAACGCGCATGTTCTGCACTCTGGAAATCTACTGCGAGAGCCTGAGGCGAGAGGCGCTGCAGCCGCATCTGGGCGAGCTGATGAAACGCTTGATGTTTACGGCTTCGCCCAACAACAACTCAGCGTCGCTGCGCCAACTGGCATTGAGCGCCATCGCCTCACTGGCCAAAATGTCGAAGGATATGTTCAAGCCGCACTTCGATGAGGTGATGGCCATTGCAATGCCCCTGGCTAAGCAGTCGGCCAACGACGATGAAACGCTGCTCCGAACCCAAGCCATACAGGTTAGTTGGCCCATGTGAATCGGTCTATAAGCTAGATAATCTCAGTTGCAGCTCGATCTTTATATTGTCATTGATTGAATCTTCTCGCGGCTCTAGACCATAAAGGTCTCTACTTGAACTGCCTTTGACTTTCAGTTTCTTTTTCCATCTTCCTCTTTCGCTCTCTGTCCCTTTCATTGATTGATCCCTCTCGTCCAGCCATCTTTTTGGTTGGTTTTCCATCCTTTGCTTTCCATCCTTTGACCATTCATTTTACTGCAGTCTTTTTCTTCCTCTAACACAATCTTTCCTCCAGCTCGGTCCTTCTTTCTCTCTTTATATACTTCCCTTGTACTTCAACGTTTCTATCTCTTATCTTTCATTTCCTCTTCTCTCTTTTTCTCCCATTGATCTCAGTCATCTAGCCATGGTCTCTAGTTGCTTTTCTCTCCCTTGCTTTGGTTAACTTCCATTCCACATTCTCCTCTCACTTTACTCTCCCACTCTCTGCATTGATCTATCTTCCAGTCGCCTCTCTAGTAGCTTTACCCCCTTTAACTTTACTCCCTTTCGTAACTTTCTGTTATATTTCTTGCCCTTATTTTAGGTACTTAACATGTTGAGTCTCGTTGATGCGGAGAAATTTGAGCTGCGCGCACCAGAGCTCATGGAATGCTTTATGGAAATGCTGCAGGATGATCTGGGAGCTCAGGTTTTCACTTTCGAGCTGCTCGGCGTGCTAGCCAAATTTATACCCAAACAGATAGCCGACAACATAGAGCCCATTATCGGTGGCGTATTCACCGCAATCAAAGAGGGCGCCGAGGAGGACAAGGATAGCGATGACGAGAAGGATGACGATGAGTGCGAGGCGGAGACTGATTGCGATGCCAGTGTCTGTGCCGAGGAGGACAGCATTGGCGACGGCCATGGCGATCAGACGGAGAACGATGCCACTACCAGAAGCGCCACCAGTTCGGAAAGTCTATCCACATCCGTGGCACCCGATGAGGCACTAATGTGCCTCAAGGCACTGGCTGTCCATTTACCCGATGCAGTTGTGCCATATCTGTCCGAGGCGGAGCGCTGCGTGTCCGCTTGCACAGATTCGCATAACGAGTTGGGACGCAGGGCGGCATACGAGGTGCTGACCCAATTGGCCGCACTCCATTTCCACAAGGGCGACATGGAGGAGGCGAAGCGTCAGTGGAACGAGCTGATGCCAGACCTGGTGGACTTTGTGGAAACGGCCAAGGAGACAGCGAACGTTATTGGCGTGATGAACTGCATCACGATGTTCCTCAAGCTGCTCAAGTCGGATGCTCTGGAAGGCGAAGGCTTCGCCGACATGATCATCAGTGTGGTGCGCCGTACTCTGCGCCGCAAGCTCAGCTGCCAGTTTAACATTGGCCAGGACACGAAGATGTCCGTGCTGCAGCAGTGGAGCCAGGCGCTGTACGCCGAGATGCAGGTGATGGAGGCCGTTGGCGACCTGCTGCCGGCGTTTGGCCAGTCGATGAGCAAGCGCCAATTTGCCACACACTTTCATAGCATCAGCACTCGGTTTCTGAAGAGTCTGCGCCAGTGCAAGCCCACGGGTCAGATCACGCCGCATCTTTACTTCCTGTACAATCTGGTCTTTCGCTGCATGGAGCCACTGGGCGTCATTGCCGAGCAGTATTACGATGTGCTCTGCTACAGCGTCGTCGACTGCATGATGGACGATAAGCCGCATGTGCGAGACTTCGCCATCGATGTGGTACACTGGCTGCTCAGCCATGTCCATGACGACGACAGTGCTGAGGTCATTATCAAGGCGACGTCTTCGGTCTTTATCGATGCGCTCGACGCCCAGTCGAAGCTGTCCAGCGCGGAGCGAGAGCGCGTCAGTGCGGTTGTGGCACGTATGCTCCTCAGCACCGATTCAATATTGACGGAGGCGACACTGTCGCTGCTCTATGCGAATTTCCCGCTGCGCAGCCACTTAAGTGAGTACACCCACGTGGTTCAGGCCATGCGCCATCTGTATGACACGAAGCCCATTGTGCTGGAGCCACATCTCAGACAGACACTGCAGCTGCTGCTCGAAGCACTGGAGAAGCAGCAGCTGCCAGATGATAAAACGCGTTACCGAGCTCTTAAGTTAGCGGGCCTCATCAAAGTCAATCAAAAGCCGCTGTTCGATGATGTTAGCCAACAGTTTCCTGGTGCCGATGAGCTGCTTGCAGAGATTTAGTTACAGACTAGAGATCAGAGTACTAGGAGCTAGTAAATGTTTTGATACAGTCGTTTCCAACTAGTTGTCCGGCAGATAGCAAATGCATTTGGGTAATGCGACTATCTTTATGTTTAACGTTTGAAACACTAGAGAATTACTCGAACAGGGATAGTGCCATGTAGCTATACAAAATTCTGGTGATTAAATCCAAATTTCGGTATCTGAAATAAAGTCTCCGTTATTTCAGCTTATCAAATTATAAAATTGATGTTTGTAATATTTAGTGTGATAAATAATCGATTCTAGGCTAACAAGATCTGTGTTGTAATATTTTGTGTTCGATTTTAATCGATTTGATGGAATGGGAATGGTTATCGATGACAAAGTTATCAATGTTTATCGCTTAGTTGTAAATAAAAAGTTAACATTTCTTATTTTTAATCGATTTTGTGGATATGAATAGAGTTATGGATGGCAGCGGGTATTCGATATTGAGGAAAATCGATAATTATCGATAAACTTGCGCTTCGAATTAATTCGAAACGATTTCATGGAAGTGAATTAAGTTATCGATGACGTCATTCAATAACTCGTATTTGATATTAACAGTTATCGATAATTATCGATCAACTTACATTTTAAATTGATTTGTAACGACTTCATGAAATATCGCTATCTAATGACTGAAACTTGATGTCAATATTTATCGATTTGGTGTAAATTCTAGAAGTAATTGGTAAAAAGTTATGAAATACCAAAACCTTAAGCTTAAATCGATCTCGTTGCAAATGTTTAATTTACTGATGGCTAATATCGACTTTAATAGATTTTAATTTATCGATGAACGAATTCGTCTGATCTAGCATTAAGTTCAGTTAAGACAGAATCCTTCATTTGCTAAAGCGATTTGCTTGGAATTTATCGACATGTTCGATAATAAATGGAAATAACTTGCTGAAGCCAACGAGCACAGCGACTGAGTGGTGGTAAAAGTCGAGTATTTAAGACCTTATGAAGCTATTATATGCGCTGTCACGGCCTTAGCCCCACAGATTATATTATATTATATGTATATAAATATATGTGTGCATGTATGTGTGTATACTTGGCTATATTTACTGGGCAATCGATCAAAGTTAAACGTCATGAAGCTATTTAAGTGGACGGCTGGCTGTTCATTTTTCTAAGCTGTCTGTGCGGATAAAGGGCAATGAAACAATGCAATAAAAGGATGTTTGGGGGTGATTGATTGGATCGCTGGCCAAAGGGAAATGCGAAAAGCATAGCGACAAATCGAATTCTCAAGCCAAGCGAACGCAATGGGAAAACAATGAAGGGGGCGTGTGTGGGGTAAGCAGAGCCGAGCAAAGCAGAGCGGAGGCGACGCGAGGAAGCAAGCTGACCCGCTAAGGGACAACTAAATATGTAAACTGTTTCAATGCAATTAGCGGACAAAGCGGAGCAACAATTTGCTTTAACAAGCCTTGGGAAAATGTTTTATTTTGTTCAGTTTTGCTGTTGTTGTTTTTGGTTGTTTTTTTTTTTTGGGGCAAGTTGAGCCGAATTGAATTGCCAGCAAATTGTCGTCAATAGGGCGCGCGAAATGAAATAAAATGCAATTAGCCAAGATGGCGTGGCCCAAATGTAACAATCATCCGCCTGATGAGCAATTAGAAAATGCAAAATAAGAGCCGCGACATGGCCTTCGCGCGAGTCCATTTGCGCGCGCTCTCTCTCTACCTCCCTCTCTCTCTCTCGCTCTCTCTCTCTGCGTTTTTATTTATTCTTTGTGTTGCTGCCTTTTTTTTGGCCACCCACAGACAGACTGGCCAATTAATTAATATTTAATTTATAGCCCGAGCAATTCTGCCAACAATTTCATTATGCTCTTCTCTCTCTTTCTTTATCTCTCTGTCTCCATCGCTTTCTGCCTCTTTTTTTTGCGTAGCGAACATTTTTGTTTCTACATACTTCTGCAGCGTCTGTCTCTTTCGCTCTTTATCTTTCTTTATGGTCATTTTTGCTTCGTCTTCTTCTTGCTCTGCTCTGCTCTTCTGCTTTGCTGCGCTGCAGCATATACCGTTATTCCGCGCTCATCTAATTAACTTGAAATGAGTTTTTCGTTTTCCCTCTATCCCTAGCTGCACATGTGTGTGTGTGTGTGTGCGCGTGTGTGTGTGTGTGTCCGACAAATGTCTTTTTTATGCTGCTGTTGTTTTTGCCTTGGCAAAATGTCACTTAATAAATTTGACGACTGTTTTATGTTGTCGCTTTGGCTCTTAAAATGAAAAGCAAAAGCAAAAACAACACGAAAAAAATGTATAAAATGGGCAAAAACAAAGCTCTAAAAAAAGTGTGGGGGGAAAAATGGAAAACCAGAAAGCAACACGCCCATTACAACACGTAGTGGCTATAAATATAAAAAACCTGCCACGCCCATAACAATTTGAGGCGGCCCGCTCATATGCAGAGGGCAGCGCGGCAGCAACCTTGACCCGCAGCGGGTTAGGGTTATGCCTGTGCGTATGTCTGTGTGTGCGTGTGCGTGTGTGTGCGTGTGTATGCGTGTGTGATTTCTAACTTCAAATGGCACGCACGACCAAGATCAAATGGGTGTGAAGCAGCTCAGGTTGCGCTTGGCGACGTCTTATGATTTGCTATATTAATTGCGCATCAGCTTGTAAGCGACAGCCGCCGGAAATAAGAGCTGTACTTGAGCGCGCTCAGTGTACATTGATCGACTGCTAGCTACCCTGTGATGAAAACAGCAAATTTCATGCGAACGCTGGCAAAGTTCCAGTTCTCCAATGAATCGTGCTCAGCTATCTTTTAACAGTTTTGTGGCGCACGAAACATCCTTCAAGGATTACTTAAGATTTTACTAAAATTTTATATTTTCTTAGAGTTTTTTAAATTTTTTAGAATTTTAGAATATTTTTTAGAATTTTTTCAAAGTTGATCGAAATTTTCCCACTTTACATTTTTTAAAACTTTCGAAAAATCATTAATTCAATTTTTAGAATTTTTTAACATTTTTCCAGTATTTCAACATTTTTCAAACATTTTTGAAATCATTAAAAATTTTTGGAAATCATTAAAATTTTTTTAATTTTTTGAAATTTTTCAGCATTTTTCGTACATTTTCAACATATTTCGAAATTTTTAGAAATTTCTCAGCATCTTTCAAAATGTTCTCATTTTTCAATATGTATTCAAAATTATTAAAAATTTTCGAATTTTTAGAAATTTTTAAAAATTTTTTTTTAATTTTTCATAGATTAAAATTTTGAAGTTATTAAAAGTTTTCTAATTATCAGAAACTTTTTTAACAATTTTAGAGAATTTTCAAAACTTTTCAAATTTTCAACTCAGACTTGCAATTGCATCAATTGATAATCATTCAGCATTTCTTCTTCTTTAAGATAAATTAGTAGCTAAGTAAGCGACGACAGGTAATACTAGAGAGCAGAAAGTCTATGATCCTTGCCGCTCTGCTTAGCCATTAAGTTCCACTTCTTAAGAAGAAAGAGAATGGGAATCGGGCTTCGTCAGTGTGTGTCATTGAATTTTTCAACATTTTAATTTCTGTTATATTAGAGTTTTCTGTTGGTACTTTATTTGTATGCTTTCGTTTCGAGTGTGGCCCACGCGGCGTATGGGTAACATGACAGAAATTCGAGTAAGTTCAAGTGAAAGTCATTTGCATTGTGGACAGAGGCAGCCGCAGTAGCAGGATGAGCAGAGCAGGTACAAGTTACAAGCTGCTGCTGCTGCTGCTGCCACAGCGCCGGCTCAACTCGACTTTTGACATTTACAAGTGCCTGGCGGGCAGCCATGGCCGGGCCGTGGTCCGGGCGCAGTACTGACGTCTGACGTTTGGCTGTTGATGTTGCGACTTTTGGTCGGATTAAATGCGCAGCTACACCTGGTGACATATCTTCGAAAACAAGTGTGCAGATGGGTGATGGCAATCAACGAACATCAAAATTCAACGTTCAACTTTATCATACAACAACAGCAGCAGCAACAGCAGGAAGAATGAGGCTAGCAAAGGCAGCAGCAGTGGGGCAAGGACAACGTATGGCAGCATCAGCATCAGTCAAAACTTTACCAGCAACTGAATTATGTCATTTGGTGACAGGGCGTGCACAGATGCAGAGGAGGTTAGGTTATTAGGTGGGCTGCCTGCTGGATTTCTGGTCGATGGCAGCAGTCGATGGTGGCCGGTAGCTCGGTTGGCACAGGAATGGATCCGGATTTGGAGGCAAATGGCGCCGCATGCATGCCAACCTACCATAGGTGGGCTGCGCAGGTAGCTGCCAGGTAACAAGCGGGTTGAGAGCAGCTTAAGACACAATACAGTGAGGCAACGTGTTCGGAAATGATCGAAAGAATGATAATAATAATGATAATGATAATGATAATGATAATGATAATGATAATGATAATGATAATGATAATGATAATGATAATGATAATGATAATGATAATGATAATGATAATGATAATGATAATGATAATGATAATGATAATGATAATGATAATGATAATGATAATGATAATGATAATGATAATGATAATGATAATGATAATGAAAATGATAATGATAATGATAATGATAATGATAATGATAATGATAATGATAATGATAATGATAATGATAATGATAATGATAATGATAATGATAATGATAATGATAATGATAATGATAATGATAATGATAATGATAATGATAATGATAATGATAATGATAATGATAATGATAATGATAATGATAATGATAATGATAACGATGGAACTCTGTGACTTTAGTTTCTCATAGGCAAGAAAGTTCCAATTGGACCCACTATGCAGATGACGACAAACGGTTTTCCCAGCTAGTCATTACATGCCGCACATTTTCCATTTCATTTTCCAGATATTTTCTTTATTTTTGGCTTGGCTTGTGCCAGTGCCTTGAATATTTTTCTTCAATTTTATTAAAATTATGGAAATGAATGAAATACTTTTATACTTATCTGCTGCTGCCTCAGTTTCTCTCTTTCTCTCTCTCTCACTGCCACTGTCTCTGGCCTCGTCTCTGTCTTTATCTCGTCTGCTGCGGCGACATCTTTGGAGCAGCGAATTTATCGAAAATTGCAGCAGTCGTCGCTTGCCACGCCTCCTGCCCAGGCAACTGGCATAATCCCATCTGCTGATGCGAATCCAATCGATGCGCAGAATGTTACCTGCAGCTCCATTCATGCCTGCCCCTTCAAGTCTTCCACTCATTTGCATGTCCAACTTTTCGGTTATGGTTTCCAATTTCGTTTCCAGCTACAAATT